TCCAATAGCGCGGCGACTAATACGCTAATTAAACCTCTCTTATTAATATACCAATTTTAATTTGAACCCCTTAATTTTTCACTTGTAGACTCATTCCACACAATCCATATATATATATATATATATATATATATATATATATATATATATATTTCACATTGTATGGGAGACTTTAGATATGAACCCCTTAATGTTTCCAAAAAAAAAAAAGCTTTGAACCCCTTAACAATTCATAAGTACGTAAATGAATATCGATTGATAATAGAAAGATCAAGTTTGTTCTACTTTGATTTCGTTTGTAGAGCTGTAATTTAGGGGTGTCAATGAACAGAGTATTAATATTAAAATGAGCCATCCTAGATCACTTTCTTAATTATTTTTTAAAATATAAGGTCTCGTTCACTTTACCTTGTAAAAATAATATTCAATATAAATAATTTCAATAGTTCAGTAAAAATAAGTTCAATTCAGTAAAATAATTTCAGTTCAGTAAAAATAAGGCTCTGCTCAGTTCACCTTACAAAAATAATATTTAGTAAAAATAATTTCAGTTCAGCAAAAATATAATAAGTTCAGTTAAGTAAAAATAATTTCAGTTCAGTAAAAATAATTTCAGTTCTGCAAAAATCAGTAGCTCTAAAGAAGAAATATAATAGAAAATCGATAAAATATTTTCAGATCAGTAAAAATAATTTCAGTTTAGTAAAAATAATTTAAGTTCAGCAAAAAATTTAAGTTTAGTAAAATTAATTTCAGTTCAACAAAAATAAGGTGAAGTGAACGAGACCTTATATTTTAAAAAATCTACTTTCAAAGAAGAAATATAATAGAGAACCAGGAAAATTAATTTCAGTTCACCTTCACCAAAAATAAGGTGAAGTGAAAAGGGCCTAATTTTATTAATTAACAATTTTCCATCTTTTGGAAAGTTTTTTACAAGCTAATTTGCATGCTTAGCCGATTAATATAATTGTATATTTTAGTTCCAATGATCAAGCTAAGGTAGGAGTTATAGACTTTTGAAAATTACAAGCAAGTTCCAAGCTACAATTATAGGACTTAAGCTTCCGCATTAGCTGTGAATTGGAACAACATGCTTGCAAATAATGAAGACTTGTAGCCTTCTAGGAGTTTTGTAGCTACATGCTAGCCAAGTAATAGCCAATATGGAGCTATATAGGTTGTTTTTGCTTGGAGGAATAGGTGGCAAAAATGACAAGCAAATGGTGAGTTAATAATAGGCATTTTGTAGATTTTGTTTGTAATTTTTTATATGAAAAACACATTTATTAAATACTTCGTAATACATTTATGCAAAAAAAAAAAAAAAAAAATCTATAGCGAACTGTAATTGAAAATTAAATCAAATTAAAAAGAAAAACAGAATTAATAAAAAAAATAAAAAAAAATGGATTTTCAAAGATAGAAGTAAAAAAATTTAGATGTTTTTCATTTCAATTCTTTAAACCAAAATTAATATATTCATCGCAAGTCCGTATAATCTATTTGTATGAAAGCAATCTCTACAAACATACATGAAGTTGTAGCTATCTAATTAAGAGGTAGTTCCCAGATTACTTGCATTTTGGAAATCATTGACGTGACACATAAAGTTACTGGGATTGATGCTTTTAGCTTCATCCCGATTTAATCATTGCATATTTGCATGAATGGTCTCCAGCAATAATGCAAATTTCAACTCATTCGTTTAGGTTGGCGCACATGTGTTTGAATGTTTAATTGATCTTATCGACTGACATTTAGGAATAGTATTATTTAATTTTAGTATTTTGTACTCAATTATTCATGTTCAGTTTTGTCACGATGGTCAGATCTTAGATAAATATTTCCCTTAATACAATTGGTGCCAAAAAAAAAAAAAATTGCATTAAAAAAATTAAAAAAAATGTTGAGTTTTGTCAGACGGAAAATGGTGCTCTTAGACCATTTTCACTCATGGTATAAAAATTTAACCATCCCTCTCTCTCTCTACCACTTTCTCACTCCTCCACGTCATCTATACCATAAAACAATATACGAAGTACTTTCTCCAAATAGCATCCTACCCATGGTATAGAAAAAGTATATCATTCCCCCTTCTCTTTTACTTTTCATACCCCATCACATTTTCTCTCTCCTGTATGTATTACATCATACTTCTATTAAATAACTTATTTAATCACTCTAATTATAGTTAAGATATTTATACAAAAATTGTTAAAATAAAAAGGTCAAACTAATTTTAATTACCATAAAAATAATTTACATTTAGCTTTGTTATTATTAATAATAATCTAATAATAAAAAAATAATAATAATGACAATAACATTAATAACAATGACAATAATAATAATAATAATAATAATAATAATAATAATAACAAACAACAACAATAATAATAATAATAATAAAACAACAATAATAATAATAATAATAATAATAATAATAATAATAATAATAATAAAACAACAGTAATAATAATAATTAAATAAATATACTCATGTGAGCTTCAGCTTTTGGCTTTTGCAATAGCAAAACACATCATTTTGGTGACCAAACACATCAGAACGCATCATTTTATATCTGATGTAGGGAAAAAAAATAAAAAAAATTACAGCAGCCAACGGGTCTCACTTCACACGACTAATGCAAAATTTGTACCAAGTGATGGTATATACCATTCCATGTTATACTTTTACACCACCATTGTAGTAAAAATTATCAGATTTTGGATGAATATTTACACCGTGGTATAAAATTGGGATGCTATATGCAGCCCTTAGGGCTGTATATAAACATTTAATATACTTTATTTTTTAGTATTAAGTTGGGAATTTATCGACAATTCACGAGTAAAGCGGTGTAATAAATGTTTATTTATTGTCTATTCTTTTCACTTTTAGCTTCTTATATGCAGCCTTAAAATTATACCACGAGTGTTGATGCTTTTAGGTGGATAGGTGATTCCCTCATAAAATAATAAGGTGAATAATGTAATTAATTGCCTATAGAGTACAAAAAGAAAAATACAAATAATAAATCGATCTAATAAAATTATACCACGAGTGTTGATGCTCTTAAGTGGATAGATGATTCCCTCATAAAATAATAAGGTGAATAATGTAATTAATTGCCTATAGAGTACAAAAAAAAAAAATACAAATAATAAATGGAGTACTAAAATATTAAAAAATTTATCGGAGTTTAGCCTGCGCGAAATGACGTTATATTAGATGACATCAAAGCCGTTTCGTCATGAAGATGATCAAATAATCACATTTACAAGTCTCACCTCTTCTGTATGGCGCGTGAACCTTACTCTCCAAAGCAAAAGCTAGTTAGAAAATTGGAATCTACCTTTGCCTTTTTATTTTACTGATGTTCTAGAATTAATCTATATTATAGGAATTAGTCCATAGGATGGACATAACAATTTATTTATTTATTTATTTTTTAACAAAATCAATTCATTACTCCCTCCATCCCTTAACTACCTTTGCCTTTTTATTTTACTGATGTTCTAGAATTAATCTTTATTATAGGAATTAGTCCGTAGGATGGACATAACAATTTATTTATTTATTTGTTTAATTATTTATTTATTTAATTTTTTTTTAACAAAATCAATTCATTACACCCTCCATCCCTTAACTACGTGCCTATTTCTAACATTTATTACTCACATACTAAAGAGAAATAAAAAGTCATAAGACATCTACAATTGAAATCTAAATTATTAAAAAATATATATAATAGAATCAAATAAAAATTTCCTTATCAAAACTAGTTGAATAGATCTTGCACTGTGATACATCTCTTACATACATTGCTGAAATATACAACCTGTTAGAAAAGACGGTCTAACTATTTGTTGTAGTCGTAAGGATGATAATTATATGATTTGCTTGAACGTATTTGAGAATTCGATAACCGTAGCGATCTCGAACAAATTTTATCAACGAACTGATAATAGGCAAAAGATGATTACTTTATATATATATAAGCCGTAATACACATAAAAACACTAAAGAAAAACAAATTATAAGCCCTAAACTCATAAAAACACTAAAGAAAACACAAACCACTAAACTAATAAAAACTAATGACTCCACCATAAGGAAACGGGCACATAACGAAAGGTTGGATGCAACTTTTACCTATTTGTTAAACCTTAGATTAAATACGAAATATTCTAAATACATAATACAAGCATTTCGTATTAGCAGGGAGTAACACTTCAGGGTACTAAAAATATATTTTTAAAATTGAAGTGAATGCGTAGGGGTGTCTCCCTGGGTCATATAAGTTGGTTTGGAGGCATCTATAAGAGACCAATTAATACGTTTATAAAATCCTGATAGTGAGTTCGATTTGGTTATGTAGGTATTTCAGAATTATGTTTCATTGATAGTAAAGAGTTGCATGTAGAGCTATTAATTCCTAACTCGACCCGTTATGAAGTTACTAAGAGAGAACTCGAACTCATCTCAACCTAACCCAACAACCCAAACTCAACCCGATTTGACCCATTTATCAAATTTTGTAATGATATTTATGTTTTACATTAATTGAGATAGATTTTTTAGCACGATCCGAAATCTAATCTGAACCCGACTCCTTGACCCAATCTGACAGGCCTTAGCCGATTGTTTATATCATCTACTTCCTCTGTTTTTTTTGTTGCAATACTTCTCTTTTCACGCTTGTCGATGCATGATTTCAATCGTTAATATCTTTAATTATCAATATGTAAAAATTATAAACATTTGATATTAAAATAGTATAAATCAAGACGAATCTAACAAGATTCCACATAACTATAATTTTGTATAGCTATAAATTACCCCAAACGTAGTCAAAGTGGAATACATAAATAATGTAAAAGTCAAACTGTTGCAACTAAAAAAAAAAAAAAAAGGAAGTACTACTTACAATCCTGCAATTTAATTACTAATTTTATATGGGAGAAGAATAGAACAACCCAAAGGTAGACATCATCCTCCTCTCAATATCTAGAATAAACACTAGTACACTGCTGTTCAAGAAACAAGTACAGTAGGGCGCGTGGTTCTTGCAAAATGTAAAAATAAAGAAAGGCCTTCCAAGTAGGAGGACAAAATTTCTTTCAAGGTTCCTTCCCCTTTCCCTTGAATTTGCTTAACCCACAAATAATTTAATATCATCACCTTTTTTTCTCTCTCCACTTCTTTTATAATTAAGACTCACTCTTCTCTTCTTATCTTCTTACCACTTCACTTGAGAAAATACAGAGAAAACAAAGAACTACATTGAAATTTCCAAACAAAAAAAAATCTTACAACAAAAAAAATAAAAAATAAAAAATGCAAGTAGTCAGCAAAATTGAGCAACCCAATTCATCTTCTTCATCACCCATTTCGCCAAAAAATGATTTGATGGAAAATATCACTACTTTTTTGGAAAAAGGCAAAGAATCTGCTCATCAGATTCGAAGCTTCATTAATGAACGGCTAGGATTGAAAGCTGAAGACCGTGAGGCTTTAGATCATCATTCTTGGGCGACTTTGAATTCTTTTGAAACTGTTCTTTCTATTTTGAACGCTCCTGATATTGATCAGGATGATCAAGTCTTGATCAAGAAGCGTAAATTTGAGTTGGAATGTCCTGATCAGTCTAAGTCTGAGGATAATATTGGTGGTGGAAATGTTGTTTCTAAAGAAAGAAGAGGATGCTACAAAAGGAGGTATGTCTATCTTCAATCCTCTCCTGGCCCTTTTTCATTTAAGACCCGGACCCGGACCCGGACCTAATCAGACCGTCTTGTCTGTTGTAGGATCCGGGTTCGAGTCTGTGGGTCCGTTAAGTTATTGCAAATCAAGTTTCACCCAATTTATTCCGACCTACCCTGAGTTAATGAGTCGTTCTTTCTAATTCATTATGTGGGGAAATTGGCTATATTTTTGTTGTTAGGAATTAAAATTTTTTGTCAATTTCAAGGGTGTTTTGGTCTAAATGATTATATGGATACTTATTGGCTAGTGATGAATACAAATTAATATCTAGAGACAATTTGACATTTTATAGTTGGAGGGTTTCAATGTTTTATTATTCTTAACAAAAGTTATTGTAAGCAATAATTTTTATGGAATAAGAAACAAAATAATATTTGAAAAGGGAATAATAAGTTTGTCATTGATATGATTTGCAGGAAGACTGGCCAATCACTAATTTTGGAGGTTAACAATCTAACTGATGATGGTCATGCTTGGAGGAAATATGGGCAAAAAGGAATCCTCAACACAAATTACCCAAGGTATTATTCTTGATCTTTCAAGTTGTGCACTTTTGATCACTATGAATCTATGTGACGCTGATCATTATCTTAATTGGTTGTTAAAGTCATGAAAGTCGAGTTCAAGATGTAGATCATATTCTGTGTATATCAATATCCTTATAATTTCCTGTAAAGTTTATACCATTATAATAAAAAGAATTACTTTTTTTAGCATGTTTATTGCACATACCTTTCTTGACTCTGCATTTATGTGGATTGTTGGTCCAATATTGATAATAAGACACCACTTATGTGTGCAAGTGATAACACATAAGGAGCTTAGTTAATCTAATCCTATTTACAATTAGAACCATAGGAATCTTTTTCTTAAAGGATGGAACCATAGAATCTATTATTACTTTAATACTATAAATAACAATTTGAATCATTATATTTCATTTATACATTTTTAACAAACTGTCTACATACAACCTAACTTTTTAGTTGAATAATCCCACTGGCTCATTAGTTGAAATTTAGCTAGTTGTATAAACTGACTAATTAATGGACGGCCAATGTATAGACTATAGAACAGCTTGTAAACTATGATTTGCAAAACCAGGCCACATAATTGTCAAACTCTTAATTAGCACTCCCAACTAATAAATTGATTATTCTTTACCTATTGAAGTATTTTATAGGCAATAACATGGAGAAAACTTTAATAATTTATCTTATACTAATAAATTTTATATGTTTATTTATACAGGAATTATTATAGGTGCACCCACAAGAATGATCAAAATTGCCAAGCACTAAAACAAGTCCAACAAATTTCAGAAAACCCCACAAAATACAAGATCATCTACCAAGGTCAACACACATGCAAAAACCCCCACAAAACCCCTTCAATCATAATAGATGATTCCCTTGAAGAAAACTCCTCCTTTTTCTTGAGCTTTGAGACAAACAACCACCTAGTAGCCAAACGTCCCATTAACCCTGCCTTATTCCCAAAATCACCCTTCCATGCCAATACTACCATGGTGAAACAAGAGTACGCTCCCATCAAGGTAGAGTCGCCGCCCTCAGCTACCACCCATGATCCTCATTCAGGGGCAACCATCAACCAGAACTCACCAACCTCTGATATAACAAGCATAGGATTTCCATCAACCCCTGTTTCCGAGCAGGGCGATGTGAACTCGTCTTTGGCGCCCGAGGTTAACGCCTCTACGGCTGAATCCTACGACGATATGGATGAAAACGACTGGATCAAGTTATTAACCATGGATCAATTTGCTTCCCTTGATGGATTGTTGGATAATTTATGAGCATAAACCTAAAGTTTTTTTGCAGTAAATTTTATGTGGACATGATGTAAATTAAAGCCACAAATTTCATCTAGCTAGAATTATTTACCTAGCTATATATTTAAAAATTCCCCGCCCCCCTTTTTTTCTTTACCATGTATATTATCTAAGAATAGTCTAAGACTAAGGAATGGAGAAAAATAAGGAGTACTTGGCACTGATTGTGCTATCTAGTGTAAGATTCGTCTTGATATGTAGTTTACATGTTGGTAGAATGTACCAAATTTTGTGAGGTGCTATGTTTCCTAGTTTTTTTTTTTTCATTAATTGATAGCGTAAAATTAATTTATGTGTGATAATTTCTCAATATGTTGCACTTGTTTAAATTCAAGATTCTGCAATCTATACTACATGACATACATATTAGATCTCGACAATCTTCAATGGTCCTACATACAAAAGCTATGTGTATTATAGAACTTTGGAAGATCAAATGTCTTACAATCAAATACGAGTTTAAAGGTGTTTTATCTTAAAATTAATTGAATATAAGGTTATGAGTTTAACAATTGAGTTATGTATTTTTTAAAAACAAAAAGTTTAGAAAATAACAGCTCAGAGAAAAGAAAAGACACAGTGCTTTTCATAAAGCAATTAGATTAAAATAGTGAAAAGCATATACATGTATATGAAATTTTCATGCAATTTGAGATTATAAAGTCCAACTTTTAATTTGCAACCCCATTATACTGTTCTTAGTTAATTTCCCACCTTAACTCACACGGTATGCAAGAGACTCAAATTTACATCACAAAAATGCATATACTTGATACTTTACTTTAACTAGCTAGCTCATATCATCTAACATGCACCATGGATAACAGGACGTCCTTTACAAACTAAACGCCATACTAGATCAAGCTTCCCTGGGTAAGCTTAATAGTAGATACCAATCAACTGTTAGCCCAGTAGTAAGGAAAGAACCTTCAACCTTAAAGTTAGAGGTTCAATTCTCATTAAGAACACTTTGTGGGTGGGAAATTGGAATTCTCTTACTATTCCCTCACTCTCAAAATGGCTAACCCTCAAACTTGAGTCGTTCCTCTTACGTTAAAAAAAAAAAACACTTAAAATCAAACTAATTAGTATTTTGATGATAAACTTACAAGCCCAAGCAAATATTACGAAGTATGAAATATAAATTCATATGGACTAGTATCATTTCTTCAATAATGTATTACGCATGGGACTTTTTTTTAAGTGTGTATTGTATGAGTTTGAAAGCTAATCGGGTCGCTCATACACGAAAATAAAGTGAGAAAAAGAAAAAGGAAAAAAAATGGACAGGCACGTCCCGCCGTATCATTAGCAGTTGTTACAAGTGAGTCAGTTGTCAGAACAACGTTGTTGCGCTAAAAACCTGACCACCAAGCAAGACATACAATTACATGGACCATCTATCCTTTTAATTTTGTTATAAAAAAATTTATAACCGATCCCAGCTTATTATAGTGGGCGGCTGTTAATTATAATAATAATAATAATAGCAAAAATAAAAATAAAATAAAAAAATAATTAAAACTAGAGACAGAGAGTAACTGACAAACAATATATCCGTCGTGGTTATATTACAACTTTAGAAGGAGGCATGACCTGTTGACGTGCACATATTTGACCTATGCTACATAATAATATACAGTAAACACCCATCAATTAATTTATGGTTTTGCATACCCCAAAAAATTTCCTACATAATCTTGAGGAGAAGTAAAAAATAAATTATAATTTTAAACTCTTGACAATGAAAGATCAGAATACTTGCTCGAGTCCCTCCTCTTGGCTTTAGGTTGACTCGCGACGGGTTAGTACTTATCAAATCAAGTTGAGATAATGTTAACTTGCCTAGCCAAGTCACATGTGGAAGCTAAGCTAAGTCTATATCCTTAAACACCATGGTTTGTTCTTCTCATCTATGACACGAGTTTCTTATCATTAAATTGATTTCATATAATGATTGAAAAGAGATATAATCTCAAAAGAGTTTAGTTTATTTCTTTCATAAAATTTTCAATTTGAACACCTATTACACAGATTGTAAAAGCTTTAATTTCACTTTAATGAAAGATGCAAAGTAATAAATCACTACATTCACGACAAGATTATTGAAGTTGTAATAGAGTAACGTAGTACAATCTTAAGATGTTGTTTTGGTTGCAAAAAAATTGTCTCAATATTCTATGTCTATATATACGGATGTTATTAATTATAATAAATTTCAATACATATTATCTTATCTTTAATAAACGTAACATGCATGTTATTTTAACAGTTACACAAAATATACTTTCAAAATCTTATCTATATGGTTGCGATCGTCCATTCTTCTTTATTATGTGACTTTTGTATATAAAGCAAGATATGATCAAATTCCTTGTTTTGCTTTTTGCACACAGTATACTTCACCTGCTTCATGTAGAAACTTAGACCCACCAGGCCACCATCACCATGTACAAGAATGGTGAAGAATGATGGCACTTCAATTCAATTGTGACAATGCATCTAGTTCCCAATTAAACCTTTTTTCTCCAATCTTGAAGAATGATTTTGACCCTTAACGAATAATTTATGTGTTAACAAGTGGGATCAAGTAATCAACTATATTTTTGTATTGCTAAATTTGGCTTAATTGTCCGCTTTATGATACTCAAAATCCTACAATAATCCACCTAATTAACACAAGGTCAAGAAATTTAGTCATACAGATCACCGAAATATTATGAAGATTATTTTTTTAATTAGGTGCACGCATGTTGGTCCATTTTTTGATGAATTAACCACAAGAAGTAGTCAAGATGATTGGACGAACATTTCACATCAAATACTTACTTTATGTAATGTTTCATTGCGTCTTTTTACTGAATATATCTTGATGTTGCCCAAATATATCTCATTTGTTGATGGGGCTATTAATATTATGACACGGCACTTTGTCCGTCCTTTAAAGATTAATTATCTTATTACTTTCTTTTACTTTAATAAATGGGTGGTTAGAGTTCCCCTCCCGGTTTCAGGTGATCCTGGGATCGATTCTCATCACTCGCCTTTGTGGCTCAAAAAAAGAGTGGGTAAATTAGTTGTTGTACGTGTAGTCTAATCTAATATATATAGAAAAAAAAAAAAAAAGTGTAACTAAATGTATCAACTAAAAAAGTTATATTACCTCCGTTTTATATTATTTGTATTTTTTAAATATTATTTGTGAGACATAAAATACTCATAATTCAAAAATTACAAATAATATGAAACGAAGGTAGTAGATAAGTTTTTCACAAACGACCCCAAAAATGAAATGTAACAATCATTACTCATTAGAGATTGTAGAGGGTACGTGCTAAGAAATGCAGAGGTAGTTTCATGGACAATGTGTAGAAAAAGTGAATGGAGATAAAGTTGCCCCAAAACTAAAACACCTCATGTTAGACAAGGAAAGCGAAAGGGAGTGTGACAGACGGTATTAGAGAATTAGTTAGTACCAACATATCCATCACTTTCTGTTCATATTAGAAATTACTTGGAACCACTTGTATGAATGGATAAGTTATGGGAAATTTTCAATAATGGCCCCTAATTTTTGCTACGTATCAATAGTGACCTTTCTTTTTTTTCAATTATACAAAATGATCTTAGTTAATAATTTCATCTCACTCGTAACCTTATTTCATTAAATATTAACTATGGTTAGATTTATATCTTTTTACTAAAAAAAAATTAACCCAACCACCAAAATCAGCCACCCCCACCTGCCCAGCCACCATCTCTTTTTTCAGTGACACTACCCTAGGATCCTCCAACCGCCGATGAAGCTGCGCCAACTCCACCTTGACCACCACCAATTCAGATTCCCAAATCCCCACCCACGACCCTCCTTCTCTCTCCTCCCTTCTCACCGTCACCACCACTAGATCGCCAAACCCAAACCACCAACCAGCTGCGCACCACCACACAAAACACCACAGCTCCCTCATCAGCCCACACACTTACCGTCCCAGCAAGCAGCCCCGCAACAACCACTATCACCACCATCCCAGCCACGCTACTTCATCCCCTCGCAACCACATTCACCGCCCAACCACCAATTGGCCACCTTATCCCTGGTGCAACTTGCAATAACCACCTTACACACCACCGCACGAACCAGCCACCTACCACCACCACTACCAATTGCGCACCTCCTGTAGCACACGCAACGGCAGCCACAAATTTCCAGCCACCGAGACCACCAAACAACGAATCGCACAACAACCACCACTCTACCTCCACTATTCGACTTCCAATCAACAAATTGGCCACCAACAATTACATTTTCGGTCTCCAATTGCAGCAATTTGACATTCAACATTTTCAATCTTCAACCAATTGAAAACCCAGAGTTTAATCTTCAATCTTTAACTAATTCAACTTTTTCAGTTAGAGGAGAGAGAGTTGTGAGGTTAGGTTTTAGAGAGGGGGTTTGGTGATTGCGGTGAGGGTGGAGGTGTTGCTGGCTACGTCTAGTGGGGGATGTAGGTGGTGGTGGTGGCTGATTGGTGGTTTTTTTTTTTTTTTTTCAAAGCTAACCATAGTTTTTTTTTTTTTTTTTTTTTTCTAGATAACACTCAATAATGTCATAAGTGAGAAAAATTTCTTAATTAGGGTCATTTTGTATAATTGAAAAAAAGGGAGGTCATCATTGGTGCGTAGTAAAAGTTGGGGGTCATCATTGAGAATTTTCCCAAAATTATTTTGAGAAAATTAGGGTGTAATGGGCCATTCATTGTAGGAGAGATTGGGCCCATTAAGATGAATTTCATCCAAATTTAATTAATTTGAAGAAACATTACGATAAAATATACATATTTTATCGTTCAACTAAAAACTTAAATTGATGCACGGTCGAAATCTCAAATTGTATTTGTACCTTCCGTAATAAGAATTTCAACGGTCCAAAACAAGAACAAGTTATTTGTTTTTTTTTTTTAAATCTAATTACAAACAATTTATGGACCTATGGTAATTGTCGCAGTTGTAGTAGGTTATTGGATTGATTGTTTTTGTTTTGTTTAATTTTGTTTTTTTGGTTGTGGTAATGGTGAAGATGTGGAGGACGGGGATAGAGGAAATCAATGGCAAATGTGAAAGTGATGGAAGCATGCAAATAATGCAATGGTGGAGGGAAAGGGGTCGGAAGTCGGAACGATATATTTGAGGGAAGGGCCAAAACGAATACACATACAAAATACGA